TGTTAATTCTTCCTTTTAGTGCAGTTATACACACATGAAAATGTATCAAAACAATAAATGGATTTCCTCTGCTATTTTACATGTTTGATGACATAAAAGAACTTTCTCCTAAAAGAAAGGGCTGACTAACCGGGCTTGGTGACTCAGCCTGTAATCCCAGCACTTTGGGAGGCTGAGGTGGGTGGATTGCCTGAGCCCGCAGGTTTGAGACCACCTGGGCAACTTGGCGAGACCTCATCTCTACAATAAAATAAAAAAATTAGCCAGGCGTGGTAGCGCGTACCTGTAGTTCCAGCTACTTGGAAGGCTGAGGCAGAAGGCTGCGGTGGCCGGGAGCGGCCACTGCACTCCAGTCTGGGTGACAGAGTGAGACTCCAACTCAAAAAAAAAAAAAAGAAAGGGCTGACTGAAAACTATGTGTACTTGTTCATGTTGGCTGGTAGGTTTCACATTAATTTGACAGGTATGTTGGGGTCTCCCAATTATGGACCTTATAATAGGTACCAGCCCATGCCCTTAGATACATTAGTACTTTCTAAGCAAAGAGTTCAGGTTCTGTAGAGAGTAGTTTTCGATTTTAGTCTGGATATAAAGATTGCTACTGTTCTGTATGTGTGGAGATAGGAAAGTTTGGGAGGGCCCAACTGGTTCAAGCATTTCTTTTCAATCATTTAATTAATTTTGCCAAATATGTCTAGCATTCCATTCCACTCACCATACTTGCCCACTTTGTGCTTAGAGTGTTCTAGGAACTCTACCAAAAAGATCATATTCAATCTCTTTTTTAGCCTTTTTCTGTGAGTATTCTGGGATATAGTTTGTATGGTTTATTCATTAATTTAATCTTGTTTCTATCTTCCAGAAGTGTATAAATATCACTGGTTTGCTCATGGCTTTCTAGTCAATTCTTAGTTTTGCTAGTAATTTATAACTTTTTATACTTCTATACTGTCATTTTCAGGGAATTTGGGGAGAGAAGGGATACAAATATATATGCTCATGCTGTCATCTTGAACCTTTTTTGGAAAGCTTATGACACTCAGGTAATAAAGTTTGACTTTTTGTCTTTAAGAAAATACTCAGCCAAGTGCAGTGACTCATGCCTATAATCCTGGCACTTTGGGAGGCCAAGGTGAGAGGATTGCCTGAGCTCATGAGTTCGAGACCAGCCTGGGCGACTTGGCAAGACTTCATCCCTACAATAAATCAAAAAATTAGCTGGGTGTGGTATACATGCCTGTAATTCCAACTTCTTGGAAGGCTGAGGCAGAAGGATTGCCTGAGCCCAGCAGGTCAAGGCTGTGGTGGCCATGAGCATGCCACTACATTCCAGTCTGGGTGACAGAGTGAGACTCCAACTCACACACAAAACACCCAATGACCAAGGCTTAATTTATATTAAGGGAATAAATAACAATGTTGATGTGAATTTCTTAGAAGTGAACCAAAGCCTAACAGTGACTCAGATTATTTCAGTACAATCTAATGATTGATTCTTTTTTTTTTTTTTTTTGCG